GCACTTCTTCTCAACCAGCACACGGTTAAGCACCTTTTTCTTACCAGTTGAGCCACAGGGGAGGCTCAAAATTCCTTTTTTTTTTTACAAAGTGTTAATTAACTTCCTCTATTCCCTAGCATCACAATATCAATTCCATCTTGAAATCTGATACAAAAATTAATTGCTACTAGTCCTGAGATTTTTTACCTAAATCCCAACCCCTCTCCAACACTGTCTTCTGATGTATCATAATCTTAATTATATTCTCCTCATCTATCGAATCAAACGTTTTCAAAACAGTTCATGGTGTTAAACAGTTGGAGGCTTTAAGTTGTCAATATAATTGTACAGGAAAGGAGATACCTAACAAGTTCTTTATTTTGTAATCAACACTCTTTTATAAACACTCCTACTGATCTAAGTGGGACCTTAAATTTGTTTTCGTATCAATAGAAGCTATTTAAATATATCAAAAATGTATACATGTTGAAAAATGCCAATTAAAGACTAGTAAAACAATAATGTAACAAAATCCTAGATGCCTAAAAACCCTTAAGATGAGTGGATCAATTTACTTTAATGAGCCATCTGGATGACCTTTCTGGGTAAGATTTAAGTGTAATTCTATCTTCAGTGACACTTCCTTATATACATTTCATAAGCTGGTACATTTTCCAGAAAAAAAAGGTCTATGTGCTAGCTGGAGTTCCCCCTTGTACATATTTTACAAGGTGTTCAGTTACTAGGTGTACTTCAAAGAAGTTCTTGAAATTAGAGAATGGATTACATAGGGTCATTTGTAATTGAAGACTCACAGTAATCCTTCTATTATGCTGGCCTAAAACTGTCACATTTCACAGCCTGAGAAATAGGATGGTACTGTAGCTTGGGGCTGGTGATCTCAGACTATGGTGCTATTTGGATCGTCAGAGGAGAAATACTTCCTGTAAATTCTAAAGATGACTCCCACAGACTACCATCTGTGTTATCAGTCATGTTCCCTATGAGCTAAAGCAGCACAAAACTGGAATCACAATAGACTTTTATTCTTACATAGAAAATCTTTATGGTGAAAACTGGACATTTATACAGGTATTTTAATCTATTAAATAGTTTTTGCCTTGGTAGAGGTCTATTTAATGTTTCAGTGCTGAAGTTTTTTGTAGATGCTAGCTAAACCAAAAGCATATTTTTGAAGTGGATACTGAAGGGTTTCAATGCTTGAGTTAAACATTTGCCCACTTAGTACAATGTACACCAAAGGTAATTCTGTATGGGTACGGACAGCAGTGTTTTCTTTTTTTCTATCTTGATATCTTGCAAACACTTCTTTTCCTACCACAACTTTCAAACCTAAGCTACTTTAAGGGTACTAACTTAGTATGAGGTGCATTTCTGTTTCATACAGGCAGGCAGGAAACTTTCTTGGAGATTATCCAAGAGTAGCCCTGCTGAACATCTGCAGAGCATCAGAATTCAATTCAAACCAAAACCCTGAAGAGGAAGAACTCAGCAGACATTCCCAGTACTTCTGACTATTAGGGTATTCAGTGGACTGATACAGGCACAGACTGTCTCCCACCACAACACCTATAATATCCAGACATTTAAAAAAATATATGAAGCTTTCAAGGCATTTCAGGCATCAAGATACTGTAACCTAGAGAATTCATAAATGTAGAGGTATTGCTTCGGGCAAAAATGTGAGTCCCAACCAAATGTAGGTTGATGAAACGGGATCTGTCAAAGTCCTTGGTGTTGTGGCCTCAAGGGACAGCAATGCCTGTGTTATGGCTGGCTGCTTTAGACTTTCCTGAGCCATCTCATGACCATCAGTAGTACTGTATGTAGACTAAGGCCAAAGAGAAGACAGAGTCAGAGCTATCACCTATGCAGTACAAACACGAGTGTTTTCTACATTATTTAAATGTTTACAACAGTGGATTTTAACCACTGTTGTGCTAACTCAACTTCATTATACCCCAGGGAGCTCACTATGGCATCAGAGGAATCAAAATAAAGCCCCATGGACATGCACAGAAATTCCTGCACAGCCATATATGGTCCTTGATCAGTGGGGCTTCATGACAGGTTTAAGAGTTTCCTGTCTAGAGTCAGACGTCTCCTAGAAAAAAAAAACAGCATTAAAAGAGTTCTTAGAGTTACAACTCTGTGGCTTGTAGACAATTTAAATGGAAAAAAAGAAAAAAAACATTGAGGAAACCAACAATGTACCCTCAATTATGACTAATTTATTTAATGGAAATGTCAGAAAATGTTAATTAGGTTGTTATGGTACAATGAGAAAAAAGACAAATGTGACATTAATGGTCCACCCTTTTCACATTAAGTACAGTATATGCGTGCCAGCAAATTAATTCTGCTTTAAAACACTGTTTCCCCATACACTCCCCTGGGATGTATCATAAAGTACGTACTGCTGGGATAACTATCTTATGTAATGAATCCTTCAGTATATACTGTATACTTCAAAATCATATTGCTAGAAAAAGGGCAAAACACTAGAAGTCAGTTCTTGCTTTATGCGGAAGATGCATTCCTAAGAAAATACTGTGTAAGAAAATTGCAATAAGAATGCTTGGAAATAAGGGGGATGCATTGTGGGTCCATTCCTAGACTTAAACTCAATTACAGGAATTCATTCATGTCAAATGTTTATGTAGTTGTAATTAGAGTCATTTTTAAACTCAATGATTACTCATGTTTCTCAGATTTGTGTAAAAATTGAAGAGAAGACTGTTGTTAGTGGAGGGTAGTGAGCAGTGTGGAAAATGCAAGAGTCATGAGCTTAGAGACCATCTGGACTGTGCAACTATCTGAGGTCCTTTAACTCTCAGTAAACTTTTTAAATACTTTTTATTTTAAAGTCTTGTAAGCAACACATTTTTTTCTTTTTTATGGTTTCAGACAAAAATAATAGACTTTTTATTTTTTTAATCTTTATTGAGAGTGTTAAGGATGACAGTTTTGTTTCTGATGTTTTATTAAATGACTTTAATCACATTTCAGGGCACAAATTGTGGGTGTGGATTTTCTTAAGATTTATCACTCAGGAATGTACTTTGTTTTAGAATTTAATTGATTTTATTTTAGATTTTAAACAGCATAAATTGACTAAGACAAAAAAAAGCCTTATGAAGCATGAGAAAATGGGAGAAAAACTGGCTGGGTGAACACTGGTAACAACTGCCCAGGTACACTACGTGTCACCTAAACAACATTTTTCATCCCAGCGTGTACAGTAGTAAATGGGTACATGTAGCCATATACCATCTAAAAAACACTACAGCAAGGTCATTGTCACTGCCCTCACCCAAGAGCTTTAAAGTGAGAACATGTCCACCCTAAATTAAGAAGTGCTATATAAACTTGAACAACCAAAAATTCACAAATGAAGATCACATAAACTGAGAACTACACTGATTTTCAAATCACAAACTTATTTTTAAACTACGGTATATGTCTAAAATAATAGCATTTCCAAAAAGGAAACTAAGCACCTTCAACCAGATTGTACACTTACATAAAATTGCAACTCGCTAAAAGTTTTTTTTACCTAACCATAATCATCATTCAGATTTACTTAGAATACGTGACAATCCAGTGGTTTTTGTTTTCATTTCAATTTAAAAAGTGGTTAATGCAACATCATTGATTTGTTTATGTACATTGCTTTTGTTTTATTGGTATTGTTTCTCCTCAGAGACGCAGCTTTTTGAAAATCCTCCACACTTCTGTAGATCTAATTATTTTTTTCACAAACCGAGATGTTGCTTTCTCATATAAAAATAATGTTTCCTTGGCCTCCTTTAATTTAGTGACAGATCAGTCTCAGTGTTATTTCTGTCTGTATTACTGGTGCTCCATGGGAAGCAAACAGCATAACGTCTTCTTATCTACAAACTACCATCTGTTATGCATAGCGCCTAACAGAATACTTTCTTCATGTTATGACTTCTGAGTTTTTTCATACAAAGTCATGTATAGCCAGGCACAGTAATTATAAGATATAGTCACTGACGTGCACATTATATTCACACTTTCATATTAGTACTTAACACCTCATTGCCATCACCAAGTTCTACATTTAGCATTGAGTAATTGGTAGAAAAAACAAAATTACATGAAAAACAAATAGATTAAGATTATTTTAATGTATACTGCAGTGAGACAAAATATTGCAGGGCGCCTGGTTCCTTAAATAACCACATCAGTCTCAGTAACTTTCCTAACTGATTTTAAATCAAGCACTTATTAAATGTGAACTAGTCTCTGGTTTCAAGTATACATTGCTGCAGTCAGGTCTTGAATTATTAGGAGTCTCTCCTGTCTCAAGATACACAGCACTTCAAACAAAATAACATTTCTCACCTCGACCACATAAGAATGTACCAAGAATTGGTTTACAATGCCAATTTATTACAGATGTAGCAGATTTAAAAACTGAAATACTGTATACTGTTACATGAGATTCTGAATTTCTGCTATGGTTCTTCTTATATGGGTGATTAACATACAATTTAGAGAACTATGTACACTAAGCAGTCAAATAATGAGAGAAAAATTAGATGTTTTTACTTCTACTCGTTAAGCCTTTGAATACACATGATAAAAATATGTTGAAATGCATTTTGGCTCGATTTAACAAACTGCAAAGAATAGTCTTGGTTATGAACTAATGTCAAGACAAATACTGTACAAATACCATGCGCCTTTCAAAACCTGGCTGGCATCCAGCAAAGCATTACTGAACTTCTTTACAGCTCTTATAGTAATGTACATGGACAAAAAAAATCCATATCAAATGCAGTAGCCTACAGTGAAAGTCTAGGTTTGTGATGTAGTGAAAAATGGCACTGTGCTGGTTAGTTTTCTACAGTTTCAATAAAAAAAATGATTGATTGTACAGTCCTTTGTTTTTCTTCTTAATTGAATATGAAAAAAGCAATTCATAACATACTGTAGTAAGCATAAAATATAAACAAACATAATCCAGTAAATAAAACTCATTCAGCTAATTTTAAAAAATGAAACAGCTGTGCCCCTTGAACTAAATGAAATTATGAAAAATAGACTTTAGTTTAAGAAGGAGAGGGAAACATTCAATCTCTTATTCTGGAAAAAAAAACTGCTTTGCTTTAATTAGTTTTGAAAAAGGTTAAACTCCATGTGTATATTATTCCAAGTGCACTGTCATCCATTAATAACATCAGACACAGGAATGACGGGAGGAGATCAAATTCAATGGCATCATGTGAGGGAGTCCAGCTGTGCTTGAATGGTCTCTAGCTGTGAGATAAAAAAATAACAATATATTATATTAAACAATATAGACAGAGAGGTAGATTAAAAAAAATAAAAAATAAATTAAATAAAAATTAAAAACTTCACTAACCTTATTGTAAAATTCAAGAAGTTCCTTGTGGTTGAATTCCAAAAAAACTTTCTGTGTGTTCTGTCAGGAAAGAAAGTGCAGCATTAGCAAAACAGTCCACCAAATGTATTTCAGATTCTCTCTTTATATACACTATGTACTAGCATTTTGTGACATTTTCGACTATACAAAAATGGAATGTAAATTCTCATTGGTATAAAAATGCTAAGAAGGTGTTCCTGGAAAGACACATAGGAATTTATCATCAAAATGATGAATGGGAACTTTTCATCCTGTCAGAAACCACTTTAAAATAACTTTCGTCATCCATAGTAGAAGTCAATGTTGCTGTGTTTTCTGTTTTGTATTCTTCACTTTTGTCAAATGACTGGTACATATGCTTGGTCCATATGCTCTCTAAATGTAAGAGGCAAAACATCAGCATCAGAACATAACAAGGGTTACAAATGGGCCATTTGATCCTTCTAGCTTGTTTGGTTACTACTAGTTAAGTGATATGAGGATCTCATCCAGTGACTTCTTGAAAGAAGCCAGGGTGTCAGATTCCACAACACGCTGGCTAGCTTGTTCTCCCACAACCCTTTGTGCAAAACATCCCGTCTGATCTGAGTTCTAGATGCACTTCTCCATAGTGTCATCTGGTTTTTGTCATTGCTGACTGTGAAGAAGTCAAAGCCTTTGAGGATCTGGAATACTATAATCAAGTCACCTCATAGTCTTCTCTAGTAGCTTAGAGGCATGCCTGGGAATGTATCTGGTCTATTCTCTTTGAAGCAGAAATATCTTTTCACATACCCATTATACATTTTAACATAACACCCCTTGACTTCCATTCTTCGATTTTAATCAGGTGGATGCTGCACATTGGTGGTGGTGGAGGGGAGTCCCCATTACCCATAAAGCACTTTGAGTGGAGTGTCCAGAAAGGCGCTATATAAGTGTAAACAATTATTCATTATTATTATATCCTAAGATTCTGTTTTCCCTTCTACTGCTTTCTCATTCTGCCTAGAGGGCAAAATAACTGAGCAATTTTAAAAATTACCTTCTAAAATCTAAGTGATTCCTATCTTATGTACAGTACACAGTTTATGGTTATACCAAAATGCATGGAAAACACATCACTCATCTAGGTGAAAAGTCATCTGCCACGTTTTTGCCTAGTATTGAACTTTGCTTTTGATAAATTTGGAAGCACCCAACATTTCCTGGAATGAACAAAGTCTGTCTACTTGGTTTAATAGCTACAGCACCTGCAATGCACAGGGCGAGAGAGGACCAAAAGACGTGCTCCTCTGATGCTCGCACCTGTCATAGTCTTCTGTCACTTGACACAGTGCCTTACAGGAGAGTTAATGCCAGAGATTAGATGATGTTGACGTCACTCTCGGCCGCTGGCAGGACACAGGAGTCTCTGTTATCCTGAAAGCCGGGAGAAGCCTGGCTGTATAAAGCCCACCTGGCACTCTGCCGTGGTGCCCTGCTGCCTGGGGAATCACACTGACATTTATCTAATGCGGCAGCCCAGGCCTGAAGCAGAGATGCCCAGACTACAGACTATCAGCACAGTGTATAGTGATCAGCCTTTGCTCCTCCCTTACTGCAACTCAATCAGCAACTGCATGGGCTGGTAAAAACTAATAATACAAAATTATAAAAATAATAATAATTTCTTACACTTATATAACGCTTTTCTGGACACTGCACTCAAAGCGCGTTACAGGTAATGGGGACTCCCATCCACCACCACCAGTGTGCAGCATCCACCTGGATGATGCTATTAGTGGGGAGGAGAGCAGAGTAATGAAGCCAGTTCATAGAAAATTAACGGGTTTCTGTTAAGGATACCAAAGTTTCAGTCATTGAACATACTTAAGTACTGTGTTTTGTTTCTCATTTAATTTAGCTGCTTCATATGGTATACAGCTCAGGTCAGGGCTGTCTGATCTGGTCCTGGAGGCCTAGAGTCGGCTATGAGTTTTCATTCTAACTCATCTTTTAAACCAGCTGGTCACTGGCTAACTAGATCACCTTCCCTCTGTTCGTTAGGTGCTGCTGCTTTAACGAGACGTTATCCAGCATAGCCATAGAAATATCTTTTTGAGGCAAGTGAATTTCCTTTGGAAACACCTTCCTAATAGAAGGATTAGTTCTTGAAAACAGTAAAAACTGAGTTATGGCTTAATGGCATCCTCTTATGTACTATTATCCCAAAATAAAGGACAACAAATGCTTAACAAATCTAGTGAAACCAATGAAAGAATAGTACTAGCATGTCAAATCAATGTATCTAGTGTTCACAGAATATAATTTTGTAATTTAGCTTAGCGGTCATTTTCACAGTTGTTTTACAAACCAGGTTCATGCACATTTGTATTCCCAAGCACTGACCAAGAAAAATCTACAAATTCCCAATTTCACATCATATTGTAGGTTTAAATTATTTTTAAAATTTGTCATTTTGAGGGTGAAAATATGAACTTGCAGCATTGTGTCAAAAAACATTTTTTAAATAAAGTATGCCTTTTAAGAGCAATGACAGAAATTAACAATGTAAATTGGTTTTAAAATGCTCAATCTCAGTGGGGACCTAGGCAAACCTAATTGTTGTTTAAATTTGTGAGGAACTAGGGTCTTTAATCAGAAATTAGGACCTAAAAGGACATAAATAAAATAGTCCTGAGCATTCCATTCTTAAAATACTTTGCATTTAATAAGGTTCATGCTATTATAATTTGTACCTAACACTACTATAGAAATACAACAGCTTCAAATAGAGATTTAAAGTTAATTCAGCAAAACTGACATATTATATGTTTTGATTAACTAAAATTTACAATAAAGAACTTAAAAATCCAATTTGTCAAGATAAAGACTAAATGAGAGTATTCCATTATGTCAGCAGGAAGGCTTAAAAAGAATGAGAAAAACCTTTTATAAACAGATGAAAAAATTACGCGACAGCACTAACATTTCTGGGGTGAACATAATGGTTTTACTGCAGTCTACCAAAGAATTTAAAGATTAGAGGCAAGGAAAACATAAGTAATGTGATATATATGACTTTCCAATGTAAGTGTTAAGCACTATGATGTTGTACACTGGTGAATAACAGTGTACATAACCTATGACACAATGTCTTGTAACCTGACACTCTGAACAGCAATCTAGTTTACAGAGAAATTATAGATTAATGCCTATATATCAGAAGACATTTTTTTAAACTTTGGGGTTTTTCCTACTTCTTGATGGGAATTCTATGACATATCAAAAAACACTTTGCCTGAATTGTTATTGTGTGGCAATATTTACAGCTTCTTTCATTTAAAAATACTCATCACAACACTGTGGAAATTTGTTTGGAACAACAACCTCATTACTGATTTAAAGCAAATGGACATTGTGCTATTGTGTCTTGTGTCATTTACGGTAAAAAGAAACCCATATACAGTATAATCTATATAGGAAACAGTTACAGTGCCTACCTCTTGTTCTATGAATGCGTCATTAAAGAAAATAGTGGATTGTTAGTGAATAAAAGTTTTAGCTAAATGGCAAACAGTGCAAATAAAATAGAGGCAGCTATAAAATGAGTTTTCAGATCAGATCTTATGGATGATTAATGGGTGGACTGGCAATTCAATTTTCGTGGTCTGTGACTAAATATTTAATGCTCTGATTGGATTCCTATATAAGGAAAACAGATGTTTGTTTAAACTCTTTCTCTACATCATTTCTGCAACTGTACTGAAACTTTTCACTTTACTATCATGCAAAGTATGGACAGTTATAAACAGTTCAGAAGCTTAAATTATACACTCAGGCAAAACTGTTTTTCCTATTTAAGTGGAAGCTCTGTAGTGTTATTTTGATCTTTTTCAACCAACTTCTTTCATACAAAAAAGGACTTCTGACAGCGTGACTTTTTTTTCTTTATAATAGGATAAATGTTAAAGCTATTGCGAATCGTGAAAGGTAGAAATGATAAAATACCAGCATTAGGCACATGATACTTAGTGATCTCGAAATGTACCATTTCTGATCTCCTTAAAAAGGCAGTTTATGCAGTAATGCTTTCATTCTCAGAAAAAAATAGATTTAAACAACGTAATTTAACTTATTGAAAATAACTTTATTAATACTACAATTTTTCACTTTTGAAAATAAAGTTAAGATGACAGAACTCTTTCTTGACCCAATCTGATTACGCCAAACAAACCATTAGTTCATTAGCCATTTTTGGTGGAACTATGAACATTATCTTCTGTAAATGTAAATGTACTAAATGATGCAAAATGACAAAGTTCCTAGTTTAAGTACTTTAATGAAGTTAGGACAAAACATTTCTGCAGAATCCACGCACTGTCATTTGTAGGAACTCATACAAAAATGGGGCTATAATCCATTAGGGCACAATAAAAGAAATAATTCTCTATAAAAACAGTCTAGGTCATGTGTGGATAGGTACCAACTTCACAAAACTGCCAGCAGAATTGGCACTGGATTTCAGTTCAGTTGGCAGTCCGGGCTACAACCGCAGGAGAAAATGAATCAGAGAACAACACTCAAGAGAGCTGCCTCTTGTTGGGGATGGTGGAATTTAGATCTATGTCTCATTTACTAGTGCATGAGAGGCACTAAAAACTGTCACCAGTTCATTTGAAAAGGTTTAAGAAGTGAAAAGGGCATTTGTTTTTCTTCAATTCTTCTGCACTAGGTTTCAAAATTAAATTTTTCAGCTGTGGCAGGGGAAATGATTGAAACCAGAAATAGCACATATTCCTCAGAAAGCAGTAATTAAATAATATAACGTAGCTGAGCAGCTTAGAACTATAAATGTTAGTTAGTGCATAAAATGGCCTCATTTAAAAAAAAAAAACATGGGGTACAGTATGTTCCCAATTTATCTCACAATATAAGCCTCTCTGAAATGCTTCAGGATAATAGTACTCCTGCTCACCAAACCTAATATATTTAACTGTTAGATTTGCTCCTGCCAGAAAACATAATGTAAAACATCTGATTAGCAGATAAACATGAAAAACATTACATGTATATGA